TACCAAGGCTGGAGTGCAATGGCCCAATCTTGGCTCACCGCAGTCTCCACCTCCTGAATTCAAGCGATTCTTCTGCCTCAGCCTCCTGAGTAGCTGGGATTACAGGCATGCACCACCACGCCCAGCTAATTTTGTATTTTTAGTAGAGATGGAGTTTCTCCATGTTGGTCAGGCTGGTCTTGAACTCTCGTGATAGGCCTGCCGCGGTCTCCCAAAGTGCTGAGATTACAGGTGTGAGCCACTGAGACTAGCCCATTCCTATCCTCATTTTACAGGCAAGGAGACTGAGGGTCAGAGAGGTAAAGTCACCTGTCCAAGGTCATAACCATGGTTGTAGCTCTAACCAAAGCCCTCCTGACTACAGCACAAATTCTCAGTCACTACCGTATTAGCCCCTCATTTGAAGACGTCTTTGTCATTGCCAAGATTCCTTTTCCTCCCGGCCCCCTAGGTCTTCAAGATTTTCTCATCACATCTCCCCAGAGGAGCCACAACATCGTCTCCTCCGAAAACAAAGCTAGAACCTTCACTGTAGACGCACCTGTGTTCTTCCCCCAAACCCAGTCCAGCTTATCTCCAGAAAAACTATATGACTCGCCCTGGAGAAGAGAAAAAAAAGCCTCTCCCCACCAACTTCATCCCACAAATCACTGGATTTGAGGCTGGAGACAGAAGAATTGGCTGTGTACTTAAGTTTCACATTGACTATTGTTTTATGTGAATGTCTGATAAGGAAAACACAATGGCTGCCAGCTGGGGGCTGGGAGTGAGATTTCCCACTTGGAGAATTCTAGAAGACATGCCTGGAGTTCTGGAGTCTGGATCCTCTGGACAGACAGGTGGAGACACCAAAGGTAACTGTGGGGTGGGGAGAAGACGCCAACCCAAGAGATTTGACTGCGTTTGGTCTACGCAAGAATGGAAATGGAGGCAGAATGAGTTAGCAGCAAGCTTGTACGCCGCTGTAGAATCCAAGGGACTCGGCCAGTGCCGGCCAATCGAAGTAGAACGTGAGCCACAGACATAATTTACACTATTCCTGTAGTTGCTTAAAAACATGGTAATTCGAGAGAGATCCAAGCTGGCTGATCACTAGCAGCTCGGGATTGCAGCTCCCACTGAAAGCGCAGAGAACGAGAGGACGCCACACTTTCAGATCAATTTTTGTTGCTCACGCACCAGGAGATTCCCAGCGGAGAAGCCCCACGGGTCACCAGCGCGACTCTTGTGGCCGGTGAGGCGGTTTTTCCGCTGCCTTGGTGCGGCGGTTCTTGGTGCAGAGTCAGAAAAGCACCATCAATCTTAAAGCCGCTGTTTTGGCGGCGCAGTGGGTTGCTCAGATTCTAGCGCCGGGAATCAACAAGTTGGACGTCCACTCAGAAACCCAACTATACAGACGGTAATTATAAAGACCACAGATGGATAAATCTATAATGAAGGGAAGAAACCAGCCTAAAAAGGCTGAGAATACCCAAAATCAGAACGCCTCTCCCTCTACAGGGGATCACAGTTCCTCATCAGCAAGAGAACAAGGCCTGATGGAGAAAGACTGTGTTCCATTAGCAGAAGCTGGCTTTAAAAGATGGATGATAAGAAACTTCTGGGAATTAAAAGAACTTGTTTTAACCCAATGCAAAGAAACTAAGAACTTTGAAAAAAGGTTTGACAAAATGTTAA